GACTTGCGATCAGAGTCACGGAACGGATTAAGTTCGTAAGTAGAGGTACCACTGTACTTGGCATTACACAGCATTAATTCTGAAGTACAAGACAGAGACAGTATTGTGATTATAAGCTATGATAAAATGCACTCTTGAAGGTGTCTGAAATCTAAATTGTAAAGGAAATTTTCACAGTCTTAATAGCAAGTTTTCCATTTCTTGGAAACCATAAGGACTCAATGTAATGTATCTTTTTTAGCACTACAACTCTCTCTATTGTTGCTTTCAGTTAAGTGCAAGCAGAAGTTCCTCACAATTGCAGATTCTATCTTCGCAAGGACACTTTCTAAACTAACTCTGCTATAGAGGATGGAGCTACCATAAGCAATATATCTCCCATCCCCTCTGAGCACTCACGTGTTCTGAGAAACATGAATAGAAGGATCATATACTATATGGAGCATTGGGAAACCAAAGACACTGGAGATTCTGGTACTGAACTAATCAACTTGCATTATCCACAAGGTTTCTTGGACAAATAACTACCATATTGAAATATGAAAAGTTTCCATTTACACAACGGAATTGTATTGAGACTTCGTAACCTGCTGAGATTGATTCTGAACTGAATCCAATTACACTGCACACAGAACAAATATGGAAGCAGATGATGAATTAAACGGTCGAGAAGAAATGGGCCCTTTGCCATATTTACCTGGAAGGAAGACAACCCTGAATTTAAGCTAAAGGATCCCCATTGCCATGCTTCCAAAGCACCCCAAATTAAAATTTGAGTGAAAAACTAAGCTGCCTTTCAAGTATTTGTGTTTCTTAGAGAAGGCAGGGTACTTAACTGCCTCCATCTATGGTTTTTGGCTTCTCATTCAGTTTGAACACAGATATGTTTTTAAGTGGTCATTTCAGTCCAGATAGATGGCTTAAGTAGTGATGACAGGCCTCAAAACCTCTCTGAGACCTTTTAAATTGTGTTTGGCAGAAAATCCTTACTATTTAATTGACCACAGTAATTGAAAAGAATATACCAATCATAATACAGCTTTGAGAGCCAGTGTGGTGTAGCAGTTAAGGTATCAGACTAGAAATCGGGAGTTCTAGTCCTACCTTAGGCTCAAAGCCAGCTGCGTGACCCTGGGCCAGTTACACTCTCTCAGCCTAGGAAGGAGGCAACTGCAAGCCACTTCAGAAAATCTTGCTAAGAAAACTGCAAAGACTAGTCCAGGCAGTTGCCAGGTGTCAACAATGATTCAAAGGCACAAATAACACACATTTACACACATATATAGACACACACACACGTATATATACACACACATATATATACAGCTTTATTGGTCTCACATTACAGGTAATCCTCACTTAATTACAGTAATTGGTAGTGGAATTTCCACTGCTAAGCAATGTGGTTGTAAAGTGCAACATCACGTGACTGTGCCACTTAGTGATGGAAATACTGGCACTCTCAGTTGCCATTGTTAAGCGAATTCCCGAAGGTCATTAAGCAAGGATATCACATGGTCGCCATTTGCAACCTTCTGCCGGCTTCCCCATTACCTTTGCTTGTGATCACAGGACGCTGCAAAGATGTAATTGTGAATTGGGCACCAAAGGCCCAGATCGTGATCATGTGACTGTGGGAGTGCTGTGATTGATGTAAGTATGAGGACTGGTTGTAACTACCACTTGTTCAGTGTCACTGTAAGTTTGAACAGTTGCCGAACAATGGGTCCTTAAACAAGAACCACCTGTACTTATTAGACTGTAACAGAATTCAAAATGGGTGTTTCATGAATTTCAGTTGCTCAAGTGAAGTATCCTTTTTTGTAGCATTAAAGTAGCCATGTCTTCCAGAAGGGCTCGGGTTTGGAGGCTTTTATATGCATGTATGCCCAAACAGTTGGGAGAAGCCTTTGAAGCAGCTGTGCTGACTCTTCTAGAGGATGCAGCTGCTTTAATTTTTGAGAAGAGAAACTTCATTTATGCCTATGCACTTTGCAAAGTGCCTTTTCTGAATCTCTGCACAGTTCTATTATTTATATATGGATATGAGCTGCTACCTACTATAATACAGTAATCAAAACAACTAAGGTAGAATTCAGGCAAGATGGAGATGATATCAACAGATTCTGTGATTGGAAAAATTGTTCTATAACCTCCTCAAGTGTTTAAATCAGAAGTAGGACGATTCTATTAAATCTGAAAGTCAAGACGTACTCAACAGCTATACTAGATAAGAACCAGTGCTTTCCCTATCTCATTATAAGGTAACAATTAACGTTCATAATTTTCTGCATCTTCAGGCTAAACCATTAGATATTTTATACAATGTAAGTGTATCACATTGCATTCAAGGTCAGTACTGACTTCTCTAATACCTTTTAATTTCACTTCATGGTTTGATCTTACACTCTAAATGTCTATAAACATGGAACAGGAGAGAAGTCCTCTCCTGAGAAGTCAGTTTTCATGATGTAACCATGTTACTCATTAGCCAGATCTAAAACAACTATCAACCTGTAAAGCTTTTTAATCTTCTAACTCAAAACAGGAAATAATAAAAAATCTTAAGACTGCAAACTTTTGTCAAATGAGA